CCCAGAAGCCTGGAAATGCCCACAGAAGAACATAGGCCTAGCCACACCTACATCATCCCCCACCAGTTGCTGTCCAACCTCATCTTGTACCCTTTCAGTGATGGCGAGTCCAGAACTCCCCTTGTTGTAGGCCTAGGTCTCATCCCTGACCAGTAGTTATCCAAGGTCTTCTTGAACCCCTCCAGTAATAGGCAGTCCACAACCCTAGGCATCTACCTCCCTACTCTAACAGTGAAGAAGATTTTTTTTCCCCCTGAAATCCAGTCTCAACCTAATTTGCTGTAACTTCATGTTAGCCAGGGTCTGGGCAACACTGCCCACTGGAGGGATCCCGATCTCAGCCAGTGTCTAACCAGCACCTAGGCCTATCTCAAAGTGACCACTGGGGGCTTCAGATGGCTTCCTTATGGGTATTCCCAGTCTTGGCAGTGCCCAGTCCAACCCTGGGTTTCTGGTAGTACTGGCATGCCATAAATAAAGTGTCTATCTTGGCTGATACCCCAAGACAATAGGAATGTCATCCTGGCACCGGCATGACCCTGATGGGCATCCATGTGCCTTGTTGCACAAGGCCTCTTGCACTATATCTCAGCCAGGGGACAGGACAGTTGGACACAACCTTTGCTGAACAGCAGCCAGAGGGGTGGGGCAAGGACCCTACACCATGGGTGGAGAGGTGGAGGTTGTCAGGGTGCACTTGCCTAGGAGACAACAGTCATGGCTCCCCTAAAAGTCTCTTGCAAAGAGCAGTCATTGGATGCCTAAGGGGATAGCCCCACCCCACAGATTCCCACAGGTCAAAGTTGAGACCCCAGACACCCATAGGGTGGGTGTGGGTTGGTGTATTCCCATCTCCTACTGGGATATGCCATTGTTGGGGTAAGGGGTATGAATTTAGGGTGCCCACCCCCAGATGGCCCCGAAGTGCCAAAGTGCACCACATGCACAGAGAACCCAGGCATCCTGCACACACACACACACACACACACACGCACGCACGCACAGTGGGTGTTGGTATCCACATTGTGCTTTATTCAGTGCATTTGCTCTCTGAAATACAAGAGGGAGCTGTATCCAGTGGGAGGAGGGGTGAAAGCTGGCACCAGGATGCCTGGGCTCTATGGCCAGCTCTGGGACAGGAGTAGGGTCTACTCTAATGGGTTAGTGGAGGGTGCTGGGAGCAAAGACACCCGGGTTCTAACCCCAGTTCAGAGAAGGGAGTTCGAGTGGAGGAAATGAGAAGACCAGGTTCCTCTGTGTCCTCTCACTCCTGGGAAGGAATTAGGTGAAAGCAGCATGGGATGGGAGTCAGGTTGCCTGGGTACTACCCTACCCTGAGGTCTGGTTGGGGAGCGACTTCTAGGGGTTTCAGGCACAAACAAGAGCTGGGATCCTAGACTTGTGGGTCCACATCACAACCTGAGATCTCCAGGGTAGGAGCAAAAGGAAATTGGGAGCTCGGACCCCTGGGTCCTGCTGCAGATCTTGAGGGGTTGGGGGCAGGTCCTAGAAGGGATTAAGCCCCAATCAGTATCTTGACCCCAGGGGTCCAACCGCATGTCAAAGCATTGTTCAAAGGTGGAGGACCATATTTTCTCATGTATAACCTGCACCTCTTCTCCCATCTCCCCCTCTAACTGTAGTGCATGTAGCAAGCAGGGAACCTGATTTTCTGCCTCAGATAGAAGCCCCCAGCTTCAGCTCGTACTCCACAGTGCATCTGGCATTGTATTACTATCGAGGCACCTGAGAGAGTGAAATGACTTAATGGCTTTTTCACTCCAGAGACGTTAATAACCACCTCTCCTTTCTAAGTGTCTTGATGTTCCACTAATCAAACTAGCCTTGCTTGTTTTCTGCCAACTAGCTGCTTCTGGCCTCTCTCCTCTGATTTCATTTTCTTGGAGGACTTTGAATCTATGATTTTGAAAAGAGCTACCCATGGAGACCACTTTTCAGCAGCAACCACAGTGTCAGCGTTAGTTAAACAGGAAAAGGCAAGTGAGTCAGCTGAAGACAAGACACTCTCTCAGCTCTATGTAGACATAACTGGGGGTGGGGGTGGGGGGAGCCATCTCTCTCCATTTTGCCTTGCAATTAAATAAAATAATGTAAAATAAAATAAAATGTAAATAAAATTTAATTAAAAATAATGCCATCTTTAATTTTAAACATGCCATTCTGTATTTTATTATGGCATTAATGAAAAGGGTAAATGAAATTAATTTCATATTAATGAGATGTATTTCATTTGACTTCATTTTGTGTTAATCTGTAATTTTAATTAATACAATTTCTGATTTTTATTATATTTAAACAATATTTAATTAAATTTGTTTTGATTAAATACCTGTGGAATTAAGAGAAAATAAATTAAAATAAAAAATAAAAGGGCATTAATAAAAATGAAAAATGGCATAAATTTTATATTAATTAATTTTAATTCATTTAATTTAATCTTTCTGCTAATCAATTTAATCTGTAATTTTAAATCATTCAAATTAATGGATTTTTCAACTAATTCAGTTTTTAATTAACTACATTCAAATTACTGTAACTGTTCATTAAATTTACCTTCAATTAATTAACCATGGAATTAAGATAGAATTTAATGAAATGGAATTAAATAAAAGCAAAATGAAATAAGTGTGGATCATATTCAGGAGCATGTTGTATACAAGAAAATATGGTACTTGCATCCTACTTTTTCCTCAGGTGGGAAACTGAGGCAAAGGGTGGAGGCAAGGGGGGGGGTGTCAGCTCTCCACAGATCCCAGTGCGATTGAGGCCTGATGCCCCGGAGATACCAAGCGGGCAGTTAATGCAGCAGAAGGACAAAGAGGCTGGGGAGGAATAAGGGGGCACAGCCTGTCACCCAGAGGCTTCCACTGGCTGGTGCACGGGGCGCTGGGCTGCAGTCCTGCCGGGTCAGGTTGTAGGTGAACACGCCGGCCTCCAGGGTGGTCAGGTGGCAGGCAGTCTGTGTAGCACAACCATGGGCAGCGAAGGGAATGGCAACACCTCCTGTAGGGAGAGCAGTGCCAGTACCCATCAGCCCCAGCCTGTCCTGACTCTGACCTTCCTTCTCCTAACCCCACACATGCCCTCCTGACTGTTCTCCTCTGACCTCATCTACTTGTAGGATCTGGTCTTCTTGGACCTCATGGTGAAAAGCCATACTTGTGTGGTCTCCTCAGGAGCTAGAAGCCAGGACATCTGGGTTCTCTCCCAGTTCTGGAAAGGGAGTGGAGGCTGAGAGGTCTCAACTAGAGTAGGACATCTTGAAAAACCAACCACCAAAACTACAAGCTGAATTTTCTAAAAAAAGGGATTTCCAGAATGCCATTGGCAACCACCCCTGTTCTAGGCCTGATGTAATGAAACTTACTGTGCTAAAAGGAAACACTGAAGCTCCCTGTCATTGATTTCTCCACCCCTCTCCAATGGGAAGCCTTGCAAGGCCTCAGTCCTTCAACTGAAGGCTGATGACATAAATTAGATGGGGACATACCTTGAGAAATCTTCCCAACTGCATAGATACATTGGTCGGCCCCTCCCTTGCAGCGGAGGTTCCCAGTGCTCTCGCAGGTACTAAACCCCGGGGCATAGCATGTGGGGCAATGAAGGCCATTAGGAACACTGTTGATTGCTGAATCTAAAAAACAAAACACAAGAAACCGTCTTGGGAGAAATAATTATCAATAAAGAACAGCCATGAAGAGTAGAACTGCCAAAAAAAAATTTATAATTGGTAATTCTTACATCCCCACCTCAAATTTGTCATCTTTCACTAGAAAGTGTATATTCCCCCTCCCCTTCATTTGAAAGTGTTGAAATTTTTCCATTTCCAAGAAAATGGTCAAAATCTGTTTGAGAGAAATGAGATCTGTTGTTCAGCACAATGCTCAATATTTTGGTGGGGGAAAAAATACGATGTGGGATTCAAACTGGAATTCAGCTTTGCTTTCTCTGGTTTTGGAAGGGAAAAGCAGCTGAAAAAACAGACTGTGATTGCCATGGCTCTACTGGAAATGGATAATGACTCCCATTCCAAATCTGGGAGATGTTCACAGGAAGCAGAAGACATATTGGGCAGGGGAAGGTGATCTGGCACTTTGGGAGGTCATGGGCTAATCTGTGCAACTCCTACCAAAATGGTTAGTGCCTACTGGACTAAGCCACCAATAACCATACGTACTGGACCACGTCAACTGTGCGTTACAGTCATCAGTGTTGCAAATCTCTGACTTGATTTCCACCATTGTGGCCTCCCCAAAGTAAAGACCCACAAAGCCAGTGAAGCTTTTCTTCGAATTGGTACAGGACTGATACGTGCCGGTACTTTCAGCTCCTGTTGGAAAGAAGGCCAAGATTTTAAAAAATCCCCCCAAAAACCCCAATAAGACTCACCCATTCAGCAGATCTTGTTATCGGAGACATTCATAACATCCACAATCCCTATATCTCACAGTCTTATCTTCAAAACACTTTAGGTGCATCTACATGTGCCAATTTAAGGCACTTGAGCCTGATTTAAGGTGCATTAAGAGCACATATCTACATGTTCATGCCCTTAATATGCCTTAAAATGGTGATTTTCGGCTATATGCACCTAAATTTGATACCTGCTTTTGCAAGTATCAGTTTAGGTGCCAATCGATAAAGTGGATTAACGCATGTGAAGACACATTAAGGTGCATTAACACTGCGTATGGACTGACTTGGGACTAACTTTAGTCCCACATCAATTCACGCACATGGTGTTAATCTGCTTTAACATGTGTACATGTAGACATGAGCCTAAATCACCTTCATGTGCAGTAAGCTCCTGAGCATTAAATTTAGGCTTGCCTAAATGCTCATGTAGACACACACTTTGACTACATTTTCTCTTGAACATCACCACCCCACCCACCACCGCCACCTACCATCTGCCTCCCCACAAAAAAGCTACAGGAGGTTTCAGTGCACACTGTATGTGAGAAATACGGTAAGAGCAGTTCCTTTTACCTGCCAGGAAACAGTGAAAGTGAAAGGGGGCAGAACAAGGAGCAGGCCTGTTCTCCCAGCCCCGCACTGGGGGATTTTACAGGATCCCTGAGCTTCTCTTCTTCTTTCTACTCTTTAAGAAAAGGTGAGTGTAGGTGATTGCCTTTTCCACAGGTTTCACCACAGATTCCCTCCCCAGCTCTCCAAAAAGCAGGTCACTTGAGTGTTCATCACACACAGAGGTGCTAACAGCTTCTGAAAGTGCCCTTGAAGGCTGGTTGAAGGAAGGAAGGCAGGACAGTGAGTCATGACATCCGCTACTGCACTCTGGGGTGGCATGAGTTAAGCATGAGTGGAGCCGGAGTCATAAAGTCCCCTTGCAGGAACGGGAAGAGGGGAAGGAGAGAAAGCAGTCTACCCTACTGTGCTGCAGGACCTGGCCAAACACAATAGGAGGCACGTCTACATGAGACGCTTACTGCACATTAGCCTAATAACACTGTGCGGTAGTATTGTGGTTATTAACCGTGCTAATAGCCTACTACACAATGTTATTAGGCTAATGCACAGTAAGTGTCACTTTTAAAAAGTGGGTTGCCAATACTGTATAGTAAATCAGTAAAGATGTCCCACTTTAAATGATGCCCACCAGCCTCCACTCCCTTCTCAGATCTGGGAGAGAACCCAGGTGTCCTGGCTCCTAGCTCCTGGGGAGCACACACAAGTATGGTTTTCCTCCATGAGCTGTGTGGTCTGAAGACCAGGTCCTGCAAGTAGCCTGAAGGGAAGCAGTCAGAAGTACTAAACTAAATGTGCAGTAACTAAGGCACATTAATGAACATGTAGACATGTCCAGTGTGTGTGTGTGACTTGCCACACATTCAAATTAAAGCTTGATAGAAACCAGCTACAAAAAGAAGTGTTCTATATTTTCCAAGCCACATCTTTGTGCAATAATGACTTCGCCTGTGCAGCCTAAATAATGTGTGTAATGAAGCTGTGAATCATGTGTCTGAGGGCACCTATGACTCCATCAGTCACCACACCGGTCTCCACACTACTCACCAAGGGTGTTGTGCTCTGAGACAAAGATGCAGGCATCCTGAGTAGAGCGGCAGACCTGCGGCACATGAGAGCACCTCCCCCCAGACTTGCAGTCGAAACAGGAGAGGGAATTTTCTGAAAAGGAGAAAGAAGGGGTGGGGGGGAAAATCTCATTGCTTTTCTCCTGATATTTGTGTCTATCTGATTCTTCTGTGTGAATATAGCAACCACTGGAAGATGCTCTGACCACGCAGGAAGGAACTTACCTCTGATTATCTGAGCTCCTGTCACAGTGAGGAGGGCCAAGAAGAGATTAAGGGTGAGGGGAGGCTTCATGGTGACAGGAAAAGAACTGAGTTCCAGTAGGACCTGTTTTTTTGCCTGGAAGACACCAGAGACTGACAAATCAAGGTCTTATT